GATTGAGAGACAGAGATATATGGACATCATCGGGTTTGGCTTACCTATATCTTGCCGTTGCACTGGAACCTTGCAGGTGACAAAAGTGCTAGCACTTCTTCCTGAATCAACGAGGCTGCTGTTCCTGCGGCAGCTTGCTGCTGCGATCACTGATCTTCCCTATCCAACGTAAGTAGGACCACCTTTGGGATGCTTGCCCAACCACTTTTTTCCATTCCTCTTTCTTTTTTTAATAGCACAGTTCCTTATCATGGACCTTATGGTCCCGGCTCCATAATAGTCCATATCTGTGCTGGGGAGCGTCAATTCGATTCCTTTTCCCCAGCAAGACATAAAAGTTGATAAAACACAATGTGTAGTACACCCTCGCGCCTCCCTCCGTTCGGCCAAAGGATCCCTGAAAAACATACTTCCGGCGCATAGCGCACGCGCATGCATGCGCGTTCACGTGATGTGGCACATCACTTTGAAAAAAAATAAAAATGAAATAAAAATTCGAAAGGACAGGGTGGGGTGGCCAAACATGCCCCTCGCTTCTAAAATTCAAACTGCAAGAGGAAATAAAGTCGGTGGGGCCACGTCATACACCAAATGTGTGTGCATGTGTGTGCGTGTGGGTGTGTATGTCCTTTTTTGTTTTTCCCCCTTTTCTTTTCTTTTTATAAAGCCCAGGGTGTTGTAGAGGCGAAGGACCAGACCCGCGGTGATTGCTGGCAGCGTCAGCCAATGATTGTCCTGACAGGATAGGCCGCCTACCCTACCCATCCCCACGTTAATACTCCCAGCGCACCCCCTGTCCCAACTATCCTACCTCAGTGTGACCAGCACTCAGGACCGTCATCCTACCAGTATCAAGGGCAACTTGGACCAGACAGCAGTGACAATCACCAAGGTTGGTCCAACCCCCCAGCCCTAGTGGAAGCGGAAGCGAACGAACCTTGCCGTACGGGAACTTCGGACGCCAGGCTCATGCAATCTTCTACAGGCCCAATATCAGAGTCTACCCAGCAGGAGTACCTAAGCAAGGCAAGCTGGTGCCCTACGGACACATCCTACCGTCCTTCCCCTAACTTACCCAAGGCTAGGCGGAACTTGGACTAGCCGGAGCGACTTATATCCCTACCCTACCCTAGAACTAAGCCATACATGAGTAGACCCCGTCATGTACCTGATAGACCCCCCCAGGCCGGTATTATAGTTGTGTGTATATGTGTGCCCAGATGCTATGCATGTATGTATGAGGCTGTAGGCTATGTGTATGTTCACGAGCCATGTTTTTGTGTCTGCCTGAAGGCTATGTATGCTCTGTGTAACTGTATAGCAAGATGTATCTGCCTGAAGGCCCGATATGTGCAGTACTATGTAGAGAGCGCTCTGTGTTCCTTGAAGAGATGGCAGGCCAAGCCCCAAGCCAGACTCGAACTCATGATCTATGAAATGTGACTAGAAGACTCTATCATATGAGCAACAATCACAAACGGCACCTGTGTGTGGTATACCAGACTGGGGAGATCAACAGAACAACCACAAGCAACAGCGACAAGCAGCCCACACAGTATCAAGACCCGACATACAACCGTGGACAACCCTTGGGTGGTGCGCAGGCAGTGTCTGTAATAGCTTACCTGCATCAGCCCAAGGGGGTGTGCAAGTGACCATACTTCACGTAAACGCCAGACGGTGTCTTCTGCGCAGAGGTGCGGAGTTTTGAACCCGCAACCTCTCTCTCTCTCTCTCTCTCTCTCTCTCTCTCTCTCTCTCTCTCTCTCTCTCTCTCTCTCTCTCTCTCTCTC